GCCAGCCCAGGGGCGAATGATATGACAAAAGGTGACCGTAGAACATTTCCTACATGAGATAAGCAATGTGTTTGCAGTCTTGTTCTGTGAATTCCCTGACTTTTTGTTTAGAAAAACCTTATAAAAAGACCTCAGCCCCTGAGCAGTCGCCTCTCTGAGCTACCTGGCTCCGGGAGTGCCGTCTGGCCAGACTAATAAAGGTCTGTTTACCATCTAGCCTGGTGTGTTCCCTCCTGGGTTTCTTGTTTCTCCATCGAGCTCCTGGAGCCTTGCTGGGTGTTAGGGCCCAGCATGTGAAGGCCTTTTTGGCTGTTCACAGCTTTCGGAAGTAAGGCCCTGGGTCTTCCCTCCGGAGCCATTGTTGGGCTATAGGACTCAGCATCGTGGAGGCCCTTTCGGCTGTTCACGCTCCATGGAGTGGAAGTGAGACTTTAAGTCTTACACCCTCTTCTCAGGCTGGAGAAGGTGGGCTCCGGATGGGGGGGGCGCATCTCACCTCCAGGACCAGAAGCAACCAGGTGTCCAGTTGGTCAGTGGCCCTCCGCAGGGCTCTGGGTTCAGATCCCGTCTGTTTAGTGGCTGTGGGTTCCTACCTGGGCCTCAGTATCCACTCCCTGACTCAGTCAGTGTCAGGGTGAAGGGGACCTAGGCACACATTATGCAGGGCTGTAGGCTCCTCCTGAGTGACCAGCAGGCTCTCTCTGCCAGGGCCCAGGAAGCAGAGGCAGGGCGGTGCCTGGAAGGGTAGGAAGTGAGGAAGAGTCAGGGGCCCTTGAGGTAGCAGAGCAACCCTGGCAGTGAGGGGAGGACACATGTGCGGCCCAGGGGACTAAAGTGCTGGAGCTTCCAGTGTTGCCGGAGCCCCAGGTGGCGCTGTAAGCCTGCGGCAACCTCACCTGGGGCAGGGGCTCCTGTCTTCAACCTGGCCACAGGCCCCATGTGGGACCTGATCCCCACAGGCTGCTAAATAGGGCTTGGCTCTGGATGCCGGAAGAAGCTGGTGGCTGGGCTCCGCCTCTGAAAACAAGGCTGTTTGGAAAATTCCACCTTGGTGTGCAGTGTCGCAGAGCCCCACCGCGGGGCACTCCTGAGCACCTGGGGCTGGGAGGTGGCCAGTACCCCGACTCTTAGGGGCCAGTGAGCTCCAGGACATGGGGCTTCAAGCTTCCCCAACCCCAGCCCCAGGCCTCGAGGACCATGGGTTTGACTTGTTCCTTCCAGGCTGTGACCCCCACCTGGGTGGAGCGTCCCGGTGCTTCAGGCACATGGGGCCCCGGGACAGTCACCACCAGCAGAGCAGGACAGCCACTTGGAATACACAGGAGACACAGGTGGGCCATGTGTGCATGGGCACCTGGCTGGATCCACTGTTTCCTCCTGTCTTTCAGTCCTGTGGGACCAGACATGTCCCCTTTGCTTATCCTCAGCCTTGGTCTTTTAAGCACATCTTCTGAGCTATCCTGAATTTTTTAGAGGTTTAAAAAATTTACTGGCACAGTGATGTGCACCCATTATCCAGCACTCTGGGAAGCGAGACAGGAGGCTCACGAGTTTGAGCTCAGGCCACACAACTTGGGGGTAGTGTGATATTTCAGTGCCTGTACACAATGAGTAATGATTGATCAGCTTAGAGGAACTGGTGTAGCCCTAACCTCAAAAAGTCCTCATTCCTTTTGTTGGGGACATTCAAAATCCTCTCTACTAGCTATTCTGAAGTAATACATTTGTTGTCAACCATAGTGACCCTGCCGTGCTATAGAACATTAGAAGTAAGCCACTCCATTCAGTTACCTTTCTGTCTCTTTTCTTCAGGGGGTATTTTTTTGAGACAGGATCTCACTGTGTAGTTCAGGCTGGTTTTGAACATACAGCCATCCTCCTGCCTCAGCCTACTGAATGCTGCTAAGGTGTGTGCCATCGCACTCAGCTCTACCCTTCTCTCATTGTTGGACACCTACTTTATGACCATTTTATTGTTGGGAAAACACTGTGCAGAACACCTGGTTATAACAGTTCCCCTATATTGGTTTTTCTGATAAGTGAACTCAGAGATTGTTCCAGAAATTGAACTTGGGACCTTGGGCTTGCCAGGCAGGCATGACACCACTGAGCTACATCCCCAGCCCTCAGTCTCCTTGAATTGAGGGTAATTTTATAAGGATGGGTCTCTTAAATGTGGGCCAAAGGGTCCTGTGTGCTATGATGCTGTGTCCCCTCTCTAGGAGCCACACTTCCCCCCTTCCTGCATGCACAGCTTCTAGGACCCCCTGAATTTGCTATTTCCGGTCTGCACCTAAGAAAGGCATTCATGGTGCCTAAAGCCATGGAAAGGCTTTAGGAAGAGGCCGCTTGTTGGGGAGGCGGCCCCTCTGTCATCTTCTGGGGGCCTCAGGGTGCTGCAAGGCCAACCCCGGCTCTCAAGCAATACCTGCCTTTGGTCTCTTCTCAAAGAGAAACCTAAATTCCAAGCATTGTGTCCTAAAAATGAATACTCCGGTCTCCATGGTGAGGGAGCATTCATGAACATCCATGGTGTAGGGACAGGAAGGATCCGTTTCCTGAAGGGCTCTCAGTGCCGGGACACAGGGGCACCCAGTAGAGAAGTCAATGTTGTAGGGGCCATGGACACCGTGGAGGAACCAGGGGCTTGAAGGGAGGATGGCAGCCAGGTAGGAGCCCTGGGAGGGAGGGCGCAGAGCTGCGAGCTGGGTGAGGGGCCTCACCTCGCAGCACCTATGTTCTCACCTGTGAGATGTGAGTTGAGGGCAGAGGGAGGCAACGTGGGAGGGCTCTGGGGACAGACAGGCCCGGGGGGACTCATTCATCAGCCTGCAGCACACACCGGGTCTCTGAGACCCTAGGTCTCTGCCCTCTGCACGTTCTCCTCCCACCCCCACCCCCAACCATGGGCCTCAGTTTCCCCTGTCATCATCAGAGATGGCCTCAACGATCTGAGGGCCTGCCTGCAGCCTGCATCCTGCCAGCGACCCTTGCATTTCCTGGCAAGGAGACAGGGCTGTGTCTGACAAGTGGCATCTCCATCTGTCTCAGGAATTCCACAGGGGTAGGCATTGTGGGCTGTTAGTCACCCGAGTGTCCCGATACCCAACAGGTCCTCAGGGATGGTTTCCATAGATACTGGCCATCCCCACAGCATTCCCATTCCTCCCAAGGGAGGCAGAGTTCAGGCAGGAGGCCCAGGGCAGGCTCTGGCCTCACCTTGGCCAATGTGCTTTCTCCACGTGATGCTGCTGGCTTGGGTGAGAAGCACTAGCAGCTCTCTGAGCAGGCCAGGAACAGCAAAACAAGACTGAGTTCCACATTTATCCAGCTCTTCACTTACTTTGATTTGTTTCAGCCCCATAATCTGGGAGGTGGAGGAACTCTGCGCGTCGAAGAGCTGAAAGCAGAGGTGTGGGGAGGCTTCCTGGACATCTGAAGTTAGCTGGCCCGGCCCAGGGGCTCCTGCGCACATCCTTCCGGTCCCTGTCGGGTGACAGTCTCACAGGGAACCACACGCAGGGAGGCTTTCTGGGAACCTCGGGCGGTCCCTGTGCAGGGGCGAGGATGCTGCAGCTGGAGTGGACCTGAGCCCTGGACAGTTTTCTACTCGCTGTTCTTCACTTCGTCAGATTCACCTGTGATGAGGCTTTATCTAGAACACTTCTGGGTGCTGAGGACAAAAGGCGAGACAAATCTGATGCCCGCCCGCAGGGAGAGTGGCCTGCTGGGGACGGGGCAGGGTGGGAAAGGCGCCAAGGGGCGCCAAACGCAACCCCCCACCCCCTACCCCCGCCACCTTTCTGGGTCTGCAGAGGTCCCTCGTCATCTGGAGGTTTTTAAAATCCTGAGACTCAATTAGGAAAGGAGGTGGGGAGCTGCAGTGACCCCCGCAGAAGCAGACCTACTAATCCATCACACCGTGTCAGGCTGTAATAAGTCCGGGATGAGGAAATCTCTGCTTCAAACCAGCTGTGGGGGCGAGCAGAGGTGTGGTGGAGACATGAGATTGTTTTTTACTTAAAACCAGCAGGAATGTATGAACCACCGAGGGCCCGCCTGTATCCTGTCAAGAGATTGCCTTTTAAAATCCCTACCCTCCCGCCGCTATAACTAACAGGTGCAGAGTTACCAGCGCTGTGAGCCCCAGAAAAGACCCTTCCGGTCCCGTGCCCTGGTCTTTCAAGACCAGGTTCAGCTGCAGTCAGTCTTTCTGGGGTTCCCTCTCCGGGGATTCTCTGCCTCTGACAACCCTGCCTCTGGCCACTGGAGTATTTCCTCTTCCTGTGATGTCTCCAGAATATAACGAGATCTAACATTCAAGTGACTACGATCTGCAGGGCACAGGGAAGACAACAGCGACCCAGCAGAGAGATGAGCACATTTTAGGAGAGGGATGGGGATCAATTAACCTGCTAGGATTGATTTTTATACACGACCACAGGCCCTCGAATTTTCTCCTTGAAGCCGGATCCGCTGCCCTCCTAGCTACTGACGTACCCTGGGGCAGTGGGCAGGCTTCTAGTCTGAGCCCGTCTCTGGCTCTGCGAAATGGCTCTGATTATAGTCTCTGGTGCTTTTGCAATGTTGAGGCAAAACCTAATTTATGTAAATGCCAGGCTCCTAAGCTAGTCTGCACATGACTCAGCTTTCACAACACAACTGAGGAAACCTGCACCTCACCTCCCAGGCTGGGGTTTACTGGCCCTGCAGTTTTGGCAATTAAAAAGCCCTCCGGTGGTACGCAGACAAGTTGGCAACTACAGAGTTAGGTGCTGGGTGAAAGTGCAATGAAGATAGCGATCAGAAAAGCCCGTTTCACAGAGTAAGAGACTAAGACCAGGCCTGGAGAGCACCAAAGCACCCTTCGGTGGGTGCCGCACGTCCTGGACCTGAGCTCAGGTCTCCCACACAGACCACCTCTTGGGGCCGTCCCGTACCTGCCGGCAGGGGCGCCCCATCGATGCGCTCCGCTGCTCGGCTCCCAACGCCTGGTGTCTGCCCGTTCGTGCCCCTTCCCCCGCCCAGCCGCTTCCCACTTCCAAGATGGCTGCGAGTGGAGCGGAACAGGTAAGGGAGCCCGGTCTGGCGTCCGCGGCGGCTCCACTAGAACAAAGAGTCCCTCAGGGCTTCACCTCGAAACTGTGCTTAGCTTCGAGACAGCAGAGGGCCAGGGACGCCGCTCCAGAGGCCCGAGCGGACCGGCGGACGGGAGAGAAGAGGGGCAGCCAGGCGAGCGTCGAGCTCCGAGTCGCGCAGAATTGCTCAGGAGCGAAGGCCCGGGCGGAAGAGGAGACGCTGGCTGGCGGG